ATTATTATTACTACAACTTTAAGATTGTTATTGACAAGTTTACAGGAAGAAACTTTTTATTAAGTGAATTACCTTTTGGGATCTGGGCACCATGGAGAAAATGTCAACTAACAATCTGCTTAGGGACTCTATCTCTGGAGGAGAAACAGACTATACTTGGGGCAGTAAGTCAGAGTTCTAAACTTTCTTGGACCATCCTTCATACAAATCTCTTAAGTGATGGTAAAGTGATCTCAACCCAAATCTTTTAATTATAAATTCTACTTTCATTTCACTATATTCTACTACCTTACCATAAGTGCTCACTTTACTGGACCACAAGTTTGGTATAGTTTTCATTGTCTGAGACTTTAGGACTTTATTGGTTGCATCTTCAAGGATAATCTTCTAAAATGTGAGGCCAAATGCTTGGAGTTCAAGTTTCTTTACTAGTCCCAGCAAACAGAGAAAGGTTAAAAAAGAATGTAGCAACAACTGTGTGTCAACAGAAAATTATCTATTTAAATTAAAATTATCTATTTTAGTTATTAGCAAGTGTGTCAATAGAAAATTATCTGTTGACACACACTTCCTTCTTTCTACTAACCATGAACTCTAACTTCTCTTTCCATGCTTTAAAAAATAAAAGGAGATTTCTTACTAGGAACAATATATTATCTTGGCAACTATAACCCTTTTATTGATAATATACACCAAACAAATAGTCTATCTGTAATAACAGATAATAAACATGATGGCCATGCCCTAAAATCACAATATGGGTTATAACAAACTTAATAAAATAAACAGTTAACAGAAAAACTGTGCCACCAATATAAGGCTAAGGCAAACACTTAACAATGTTACTTATGACATGGGGATTTTTATCTCCCTGCCTGCCTCCTTTTTCTTTCAACAAACGTTTTTGTATGCCTACTATGTACTTGATACTGGGCTATTACAATGAAGAAGGACATAATCTCTGCTTTCAAAAGTGTGGTCTAAAGGCCAGACGTGGTAGCTCATGCCTGTTGTCCCAGCACTTTGGGAGGCTAAAGTGGGATTGCTTGAGTCCAGGAGTTCAAGACCAGCCTGGGCAACATAGTAAGACCCCATTTTTACAAAAAATAAAAAAATTATCTGTGTGTAGTGGCACATACCTGTAGTCCCAGCTACTCAAGGGGCTGAGGTGGGAGAATCATTTGAGGCTCCAGTAAGCTATGACTGCACCACTGCACTCTAGCCTGGGTGATAGAGTGAGACCCTGTCTCAAAAAAAAGAGGGTAGTCTAATTATGGGAGGGGAGGGGACTGATAAATATAATATTATGTAATAAACATTATGATAGGGATATGCACAGGATACCAGGCAGATGCAGAAAAAGGGTATTTACTTTTTTGTAGTTACAAGAGTTTTCAGGAAATTGCTTTTCCATGCCTTTTTAAAAAACTGATTTTTGAATCCCATCTATATCACTTTATCAACATCTTTAACTTTTTTTTCCTCAAAGCTGACTAGGAATCAGTGACTATTTTACTACGTAAAATTTATACCATCAGGTAGCACCAAAAACCTATTTAATAATAAATAAATATGCCAGTTTTTGTAGGCCTAGTCTTCCATAAATTAATTTATGACCAGTGATGGAATAACTCAGATTAATTATTGAAGAAGTTACAAAGTTCTCCCCAGTCTGACTGGCTATAACAACTGATTAAAACAATCAGTCTTATGATTCTCCTTATTTTCAGACATTCTCCCAAAGGGATTTATTTTGTTGACACGGCTCTTAATTACAATGATACATTCTTTGCAATTCACTTGCATTATTTCATTACAAAGTGAGTACACTGCCTTTAAGAAAAACTAGTCTTGCCCTCGGTCTGGTCCTATTTACCTACCTAGGATTAATTCTCAGCAAAGACATAAAGAGGCAGAGTTTAGGCTTTTATAATTCCACTGCTTCCCTCACAAGCAGCCTTCTGAAAGTTACCACTGAAGCTGTTCCTCCAAGCTTTTTTTATTTATTGTCTCTCAACTTCAGTAAAGTACTGAGGTTAGACAAGGTTCTACATTCATGGTATGCATCTCTGGGACAGGGAAAACGGTTCAGAAAATCAGATAGCTGGGGTTTGAAACCGGGCTAAAAATTTTAGAAACTGTGTGATTTGATCACTCTGAGCCTCAGTTTCCTTATTGTGAAATGGTGAATAATGGCTTTTTCCTTGTAGAGCTGTTACAGAATGCAATTAGATAATGTTTGTAAAGCACCTAAACTGTGTTTTGGTGCAGGGAAAGCATTCAATAAACTCTAATAAATTCCAGCAATGGTTTTCCTAGCAGTGCCAAATTTCTAAGGTTTATATTAAAAAAGAAAAAAGACTATGCAAAATTTTATTTGTATGTCTAATTTTTGAGAAGAAGCAGTGGTTTTCATTAGATCTTGAAAGATTTCTAAAAGTAGTTAAGGGTAGAAACAAGAAAAACCTGGAAGATAACTTGTCTGCTGCCAGGTGCGGTGGCTCATGCCTGTAATCCCAACACTTTGGGAGGCCGAGGCGGGTGGATCACGAAGTCAGGCATTCAAGGCTAGCCTGGCCAAGACAGTGAAACTCTGTCGCTACTAAAACTATACAAATTAGCTGGGCGCAGTGGCAGATGCCTGTAATCCCAGCTACTTGGGAGGCTGAGGCAGGAGAATTGCTTGAACCTGGGAGGCAGAGGTTGTAGTGAGCCAAGATTGCACCACTGCACTCTAGCCTGGGTGACAGAACGACAGAGTTAGACTCTGTCTCAAAAAAATAAATAAATAAATAAACGAACCTCATCTGTAAATAAACATTAAGTACAAAGATCATGTTTATTCCCAAAGAACTTCCTTAAGCAGATTTCCCACTGCAGTTTCCCACCAGGAGGTCAGGGTACTGAGGAATGCATGCTACACCCACGTTCTTATCTAGGAAAAGGCAACTAACTATCGAAGAGGCAGTTACCGCACAAGTTTTTCCTATTCAAGTTTTAGAATCAGTCAAATCTAGATTTAAATACAAACTATGTGACTTTAAGTAGTTTAACTTCTTTGACTATCAGTTTCATCAAGTATAATATGAGGATAAGGAAACCTAGCACATCATCTATTGTGAAGATTCAATAAAATAATATATACATAAAATATGTGGAACTGGCCGGGTGCAGTGGCTCACAACTGTAATCTCAGCACTTGGGGAGGACAAGGTGTGTGAATCACTTGAGGTCAGGAGTTTGAGACCAGCCTGACCAACATGGTGAAACCCCGTCTCCACTAAAAATACAAAATTAGCGGGGTGTGGTGGCGCATGCCTGCAATCCCAGCTATTTGGGAGGCTGAGGCAGGAGAATCACTTGAACCCAGGAGGCGGAGGTTGCAGTGAGCCAATATCACATTCCAGCCTGGGCAACAAGAGCTAAATTGTCTCAAAAAAAAAAAAAAAAAAATGTTGCACAGAGCCTGGCCTATTTAGTTTTTTGTTGTGGTTGCTGTTATTCTCATCAACTCCTCCATGTTACACTTTCCATTTGGTTAGATAATCCTTCAATGTTCTTAGCAGAGAAATAAAGATTTCTATAATTCCTTTGATGCTCCTGGGAAGGAAATGAAGACAGGGATCCCTGGGCAAGGGAAATGGAAGTTACAGGTAAGATATGTGGATAAACCTCGCTTTACAAATAATCAGAATAGATGACTTCAATGCTGTGTTCTTTGCAGGGTGCTGGAAAAACCCACCCAGCCCCCTAAATTGCTTTCACTGCCACCCTGCCTGAAATTCCATCGCTAGAAACACTGTAATTCGTCTGGATCACTAAGAGCTCCTGAGTGGATACCAGGACTCCTGGGAGGTCCACCACCTCTCTTTATTGGGACCCCGTCCCCAGAGTACCAGCTTCTCCACGGGGGAAGGAGACTGCGCCACTCGCAGCTGCTGCCTTGAAGACTAGGAAGGCAGGTTGGGGGTGCGGGTGAGGGAACTCAGGGTTCCTGGAGAGGAACAAAAGTTGGAAAGGAGAGTTCTTCAAAATGCAGAGGAAGGCTTAGGGGGGAAAATGGGGCAGAAACTGGAGCCAGAAAGAAAGGTGAGAAGAAAACCAGAGAAACTTTTTCCTTCTGTAAATCGGTCTAAGTTTCGGGAGGTGGGGTTGGGAAAGGTGGGGTTGGGGAAGGAAGGGCCGGGCCAGGGCTGAGTGGAGGAGGTGGCCTCCGAGAGGGTGAGTCGGGAAACAAGGGGAGTGGGCAAAGGGTGAGACGCGGGGTACCGGTGCCCCCCCCGCTGGCTGCCAGTTCCCTCTGCGTTTCCTCGTGTGCGTGCGTGACAGGAGACAGTGCAGCGCTGGCGAGGTGCCTGGCATCTGGCAGCTGCAAGATAACCCGAGCCCGCGCGACGGGAAACGTGCCGTTGGCACCCCGCCGCCCCTCCATCATGACCCCAGTCTGCGAAACAGGGTTCGTGATGCTGAGTTTACGAGGGACGAGCCGCGGCTTTGAGATCTCGTCCAGCCCGAAGCAGCGGAGACCGGCCTGGAGCTCGGCTGTCAGACCGCGGAGCGCACGCCGCGGGCGGGGGCTAGGTCCAAAGGGGAGGGTAAGGGGACGCGGGGCTCACCCTTGAAGGAGACGGGGAGCCGCTGGGCTTCGGAGTCCACCGTGTGCCGCTTCTCGGCCATGCTGCCCGAGACACAGTCGCACTCCCCAGTCCTCGTCGGCGAAGCCAGAGTCGCGGGGAATGCCCTGAAGAGCAGAGGGCACAAGACCGGGGTTGCCGCCCCGCCCCTCCCTAGGTACCGGCCCCCTGGAGAGTCGGCCAATCAACGCCCAGGACAGAGGAGAACACACCTCCCACTCCCCGCCCTCCGGTCCCTCCAGCGCAGCTGCTTCGCAGTCACTTCCCGCTCAGGCTGAGGGGCGTGGCCTGAAGGGCGAGATCCCCCAAGGCTTTGGGGACTAGGCCGGGCCCCTGCACCGGAAGGGAGGGCGGAAGCCAAGGGGCGTGGAGCGGGGCGTGAGAGTAGTGGGTAGGCGGCCGCGGGGGATGGCCTGAAGAAAAACTGCGAGTGAGTCGCCCCGCGGGGTAGAGGTACCTGGACCCAGGCGCCTCGTCTGGGAAGAACGAGGTTAGAAAGAACGAGTTAGAGGGAAGAAAATAGCGCCCTCTTATGACGGAGGGAGATCTGAGTTGAGGGGAGAAGGCTGAGGTGCACCGAAGTGGCGGAGGCGACGGCGCTGAGGTCAGCCTGAGCTGAGAGGGCAGGCAGATCAACCCTCAACCGAAGTGAACGAACTCGAGTGAGGTGTGTTAAGAAAAAAACAAATCAAATGTAGACATTTGGAAAAAGAGAGGAGGTCGGGCGTGATGGCTCACGCCTGTAAACCCAACACTTTGGCAGGCCGAGGCAAGTGGGTCATCTGAGGTCAGAGGTTCGAGACCAGCCTGGCTCAACTAAGAATACAAAAATTAGCCGGGCGTGGTGGCGCCCACCTGTAGTCCTAGCTACTCGGGAGGCTGAGGAAGGAGAATCACTTGAACCCGGAGGCGAAGGTTTCAGTGAGTCAAGATTGCCCCACTGCACTCCAGCCTGGGTGATGGAGACAACGTTTCAAAAAAAAAAAAAAAAAGGTCCAGGAGCAGTGGCTTATGCCTGTAATCCTAGCACTTTGAGAGGCCAAGGCACCTGAGATCGGGAGTTTGAGAGCAGCCTGATCAACATGGAAAAACCCCGTTTCTACTAAAAATACAAAATTAGCCAGGTGCGGTGGTGCATTCCTGTAATCCCAGCTACGCGGGAAGCTGAGGCAGGAGAATCACTTGAACCCGGGAGGCAGAGGTTGCCGTGAGCCGAGATGAGGGCATTGCACTCCAGCCTGGGCAACAAGACAGAAACTCCGTCTCAAAAAATAATAATAAGGAGAAGAGACTTTTATGTCTTGTAAGGGGTTACACCCTACGAGGTGGCCATTCTGCAGGCTGGGAAATGGTCAGGACCAGAGACAGACACTTAGTAAGAGGAGGGGTTGGGTTTCACCCGAGCTGTTCAGCAGCTTTAGGCTGAACAGCTTGGGTAAATATGCATATTCAGCACTGACAGGAGTAGCTATGAATATTCATACAGGTGGTCCTGACACATGCCTACTGAGCAAACGTGCATGTAACCATACAACCCATGTTCACTTTGAAGAGTTACCATTTAAATGTTAAATGCCTGGGCTACATGGTGATGTCCCCATCTATACAAAAAGTAAAAGCAATAGCCAGGTGTGGTGGTGTGCATTTGTGATCCCAGCTAGTCAGGAGGCTGGGGTGGGAGGATTGCTTGAGCCCAAGAGACGGAGGCTGCAGTGGTTTATGATCAGATCTCTGTACTCCAACCTGATAGATTGAGACCTCATTTCTAAAAAATAATAATCATACATGTATTACAGTCAGGCCCTATGTGTCAAAAGGTCTTTTCAGGACAGGAAGGTGTGCAAGTATGCAGTCTGTGTAAACTAGCCAGAGCCAGTCCGTGGTTGGTGGTCTTCCTATCAGGGGAAGATTACTGAAGTCAAGTCTCTTGTCCAAGTAAAGCTGTAGTGATGGCTGGTGGAATAAGAGTTCAGTTAATCTGCATCTGTTGGATCTGCAAATTGTTTTAATATTGCTTGTCTTAAGGCCAGTGCTTGTTTTGCTGCTAGAGAAAGAGAAAAACCTTGTGGCAGTTAGAACATAGTTTATTCTCTAAGTGAATGGATGTGTGACTTAACTTTTGCCTGCCATGACCTTAGGTATAATTTGTTTATAATTTGGTATGTTATTGCCACAGAGTCTCTTCTGTTGGTCTTATGACCTGTATTTTAATGTTAATGCTGGTCAGCTGTCTGTCTAAACTCCAATAGGGAGAAGGTATGATAGGTGTGTCTGACCTGTCCTGTCATTGGCTGGGAATTCAGTTTTAAAGTTTTCTAGAGTCCTCTTGGCCGCAAGGAAGTTCATACAGTCGGTGAGGTCAATTATTCAAACAAAATCCATTTGGAGCGTCTTCCATGTGGCAGGGGGTGTGCTCCTTGTTGGGGATGCATTGGGCAAGCGCCTCGTGGAGCTTACCTTATGTTCTAGTGAGGAGATGGGCAACAAACAAGTAAGTGAATCATTACACATGGTGAAGGGAGCTGTGGAAGGAATGGAATATTCAGAGAACAGCAAAGGTTAGGACAGGGGAACACCTCTGTAAGGAAGTGGCTTTGAGATGTCACCTGAGAAATGGGAAGGAGCCAGCCTGGGAAAGGGGAATAAGCAGTGCAGGCGGTGGGAAAGGCTATCCCAGGCAGAGGGAAAAGCATGATGCAGAGACATTCCCAACCTTAAGCCTCTTGGGTTGTGGCTGAAGACCTCACATCTGGAAACCAGGCTGTGTTTGAATTAGAATTGTTCTATTACACAATGTTCAAAGTATGTTAATGTACACAAGGTGCACTTTTAGAAACATTCAATTTTGAAAAAAGTACAGATTCACAGGTAGTTGCAAAGACAGTATAGAGAGGTCACATGTCCCCTCTACCCAGTTTCCCCCAATAGTTACATCTTACTTAACTAGAGTACCAAACCAAGAAACTGACAGTGGCACAAAATGTGTTTATAGTTCTGTGCCATTTTGACACATGTAGATTGATATAACCACAGCAACTGTTACAGAACTATTCTATCACCACAAAGATCTCTCTCAAGAGGAGCACTTTTTTCTTCTTTTTTAATGTGCTCAGTAGTTGGCTGTGTTCTACCCAACACCATGTAGTACTTAGGTCATATCAAATGGCAGACTTTCTCTCTGCTTTTATAGTTCTAGAGCTTTGTGACTATTGGGACGGAAACTGGAGGAGACACAACAGGTGTTAAGAGAGGCATTAAGATGATCTTTGCTCCTGGAACAGGCTACAGTGTGTGATCAAAACCTGACTCAGAGCTCACAAGTATTCTGGTCAAATACTGGCCAAGAACTGTTTGTATTCCTGCGGCAGAGTGCAGCTTGTGCAGTCACTTTCTTTATTAGCCTTCTGGAGAAGATAAGGAGGGGAGTACTGTATTTAATGATCCCTTCTTTCTAAATCATCCCTGAGAAAGTCCATAGCTTCATTTTTTCCATTCTGTAATGAATAAGCCCTCAAGGCATGAACTTCCCGTTTATCCTGTCGTTCCCAGGAAAGAGGAGCAAATGCACAAGAAGCTAATTAAACCCTTCACTAGAGGAGGCCTTGATTACAAATAGCATATTGTGAAAAAGAATTTAGGTTTCACTTTTGTTGGAAAGGAAAATGGTATTTCAAAATGAATTTAATGTCTGTACCCCTATCAGTTACTTAAGCCCAAGTCTGAAGACAATGCTGTGTCCCTTTTGGAGAATTACAAGTGCCTCCCTTTGGGACAGAGACTTTGGTGAATACTTGTTGGCTCTGGTTTGAGATTGCATCAGTTCTAAAACTAATTCCTGGCCCTAAACTAAGACGCAGCTTTGACTTGATTTGTAAACTGCTTTTAGAATAGAGTTTCCAATTTTTGATTAAAATATGCTTACTTTCACTTGTCCATGAAATTGGTGTATTCTGGCTTTCTCATGCATATTCTGTATAAATGCATTGATTAAATGTACTTTAAAAAATTTCTCACTGTTAAGATTAGAAAAAAAATAGCGCATCACTTTCTCCTTTTGGAGGATTTTTAATCTTAAAATTTCTCCCAGTAATGATTAGAAGTTAGAATGATTATTTTTAAAGAACGTTATGGCAGGGCTCAGTGGCTCACGCTTGTAATCCCGGAACTTTGAGAGGCTAAGGTAGGCAGATCACTTGAAGTCAGGAGTTTGAGACCAGCCTGAGTAACATGGTGAAACCCCATCTCTACTGAAAATAAAAAAAATTAGCCAGGCATGGTGGCACATACTTGTAATCCCTGCTACTTGGGAGGTTGAGGCAGGAGAATTCTTGAACCTGGGAAGTGGAGGTTGCAGTGAGCACAGATTGCGCCACTGCACGCCAGCTTAGGCGACAGAATGAGATGCATCTCAAAAAATAAAATAAATAAATAACATTGTACTTTTAAAATGGAGACATAAAATTGTGAGTACTTTGAAGAGAGAATTACGTATTACCTCTAACAAAATTGCTATTACAGTTTTGGTGAATTTTTCCCCAATTGTTATTTAAAGGATACTTATATATTGTTTGAAAATCAGAGTAGATGTTCCATATTTCTTTATGTTTCATTTTGCTGTTATTTGCCAAGCATATTCAGGGTACCAAATTAAGTATTGATTGATGGTAACAGTGATAACATTAAGACGTGGAGATCAGGTTAAAGACAGATATGCACCATGAATCCATAATTGAGTAAGTCAGAAGGAAATTTAATTAGCCTTTTTCCTGTGTCCATTGCAGTGCTTTAATAAGAACAACAGAGAAGTCTTTTTTTTTTTTTCTTTTAATTTGCTAATCCGGGATGTTCTCAATGCTTTTATGGACGTCAGCTAGCTAAATACCTTGAGAGAATAGCAATACCATCAAGTTACATCTGTCTGTGACATTTTCTCTATGATGGGACTAACAAATTTGATCTGTATTAACTGATTTTAATATGTATTAACTCACACTTTTTGCACTACAACAAGATTTTTGTCTTCTTAGCTCTTCTCTTCTTCAGGAAATTACTCCAGGATTTGAATCGTCACAAGAGATTCACCAGAGGATTTTATACACTTGGGCTGTGGCAGCAGATTATACCACAACACCAGGTAAGACACCAGGAGTTCAGATCCTCAGGACTTATGAAAATAAAAAGCATTACTGTAATATTGGTGTTATTTATTAGAGTTATCTATGAAAATAATCTTATTAATCTGCTTTTTTATTAGTTCACTCAGCAAATATTTACTGCATACTAACTACATACCAGGCATTGCTCTAGGTGTTTGGGCCACATCAGTGACCAAAAAAGACCAAAATTCTTATCCTCATAGATCTTACATTCTAGTATTCCTTTCCACGTGCATTAGTTGCTAGGGTTTCCACCACAGACTGGGTAGCTTAAGCAGCAGGAATTAATTTGTTTTACAGTTCTGGAGGCTAGAAGAAGTACAAGATCAAGATGTTAGCAGGGTTGGCTTCTCCTCAGCACCATGAAGGAAGGGTCTGTTCCAGGCCTGTGGCTGTGACTTGTAGATAAATGTCTTCTTCCTGTGTCTTGACGCTGTTTTTCCTTTGTATGTCTGTGTCCAAATTTCCTCTCCTTAGAAGGACACCAGTCATATTCAATTAGGGTCCATCCTAATGACTTCATTTTAACTTAAGTACCTCTTTAAACATCCTGTATCCCAAGATACTCACATGCTGAGATATATGGGGTTAGGACTTCAACGTGTGAATTTTGGGGAAACTCAGCCCATAATATCACACATGACTACTGTGTATCCATATCTTTGTATTGCCTATTTTCTCCTATCCACATCCCTGAGATATCCAAAGCCATTTATGTTTACTTGCAAAATGTGTCCCGTGACCTGTGATTATGAGTGATTATTTTTCTAGGTATGACTTATTATTTTAAAATTTTTACTTTTTTTTTTTTTTTTTTTTTGAGACGGAGTCTTGCTCTGTCGCCAGGCTGGAGTGCAGTGGCGCAATCTCGGCTCACTGCAACCTCCGCCTCCTGGGTTCAAGTGCCTCAGCCTCCCGAGTAGCTGGGACTACAGGCACGTGCCACCACACCTGGCTAATTTTTGTATTTTTAGTAGAGACGGGGTTTCATCATGGCGAGAGTGGTCTCGATTTCTTGACCTAGTGATCCGCCCGCCTCAGCCTCCCAAAGTGCTGGGATTATAGTCGTGAGCCACCCCGCCCGGCTAAAATTTTACTTTTTAATTAACAGATAATAGAAGTATCCAGCCTGGCCAACATGGCAAAACCCCAACTCTAATGAAAATACAAAAATTAGCCAGGCGTGGTGGCAGTCCCCTGTAATCCCAGCTATTTGGGAGGTTCAGGCAGGAGAATCTCTTGAATCCAGGAGGCAGAGGTTGCAGTGAGCCAAGATTGCACCACTGTGCTCTAGCCTGGGCGACAGAGAGAGACTATCTTAAAAAAAAATAGAGGTATACATTTGGGTGCACACGTGATAATTGAGTATATTTGTATAATTTGTAAAGGTCAAATAAGTGTAATTGGGATATCTATCACCTTGTTTATCTTTTATTTATGTTAGAAACATTTGAATTATTCTCTTCTAGCTATTTTGAAATATATAAGACATAATTTTTTTTTTTTTTTTTTTTTTTTTAAAGACTGGGTTTCACCATGTTGGTCAGGCTGGTCTTGAACTCCCGACCTCTGGTGATCCACCCGCCTTGGCCTCCAAAGTGCTTGGATAAGACATAATTTTTAAGCTATACTAGAAAGTTCTTGGTTAGGAAGGATTATTCTACTTGGAATGATGCTTCATCTAGTGTTCACCATATTCTACTACTTTTCTTAAAGTTTTAAAAATGAATTAAGGGGAACTATGTTGAAGAAGGGTCCTTTATTTAACAGTTAGGTTGTTACAGAGCACTATGGATTCGTAGTAAAAAAAAAAAAATTGTGTCAAATATCATATGTGAGAGGAAAGAGTGATCTATATAAGACATTACTTTTAGTAATTCAATAAATAACATTACCTTCATTTACTGTCACCACCAGTTATGATGTACTTTTATCCCGTGAGGAGACTGAGAGTGAGTTTAGTCATTTACCCAAAATTTCACAGATCTTGGTGAAGCACAGGTCAGTGGTGTAGATATTGTTTGCCCTACATATACTGTGTAACTCCTGAATTTGAGCTTTTAATCATTCATAGCAAAAATAGACAAAAAGACGCAAACTTGTCCTGATGCATTTTTCAGGTATGAACACAAGTAAGCGTATACCTAATTGGGTACTGAAGTTTCCCTTCAATTTTGGTGCATTTTAATCTTTATTTTATATTAAAATGTTACCAACAGAGATAATTCAGTATTTGTATCATTGTTAATATGTTGTGTCAAAATGTGTCTGTCCATCTCGGATAGTAAATTTATAAATGACAGGACTTAATCCACAACCAAATCAGAATATTATAGTTTATTTCATGTGTATCTTGAATTAAATAGGAACAATTAAATAACTGTTAAAAAGTTTGGACTTTCCTCTTTGTAGTTTTAAAACATAATTTTTGTTTTTCTCTTGTACAACCTGAATGGGGCAGTTCGACTGCTTGGAGACATCAGGAAAGGCTTCCAGGGAAGGCTGAATTTTGTAGGATAAATATGGGTTAGAACAGGGTACTTCAGGAATACAGAAAAGTCCTTGAAAATGCATAGGGGTATGCCAGAGCTTGATATTTTTGGTTAAATGTAAGTAGTAACATATGCAGGCTGTGGTGTTGAGAAATGACAGTGGATTAAAAGGCTAGCCCAGATTTAAAAGGTAACTGAAGCTGCTCAAAGAGCTTAACCATGGGAGTGGAATGAACATATTGGATTTATCAAAATATTATATAATAGACAATCTAAATGGGCTTGTATCTATTAAATAATTGAATTAATAATAAGTATAATTTCTAGAACAGAGAGCACCAAGCCCAGATTTGCTCACGGGCAAATCCTACCAAATGTTTAAGAAAAATATTATACCAATGCTCTACAATCTTTTGGAAGATAGAAGCAGAGGAAACACTTCCTAACTCATTTTATGAGGCCATAATTATTTTAATACCTAATACCAAAATCAGACAAAGATATTAGAAAAAAAGAAAACTACAGACCAATATGTCTCATGAACATAGATGCAAAAGTCCTCAACAAAATATTAGCAAATTTAATCCAATGATATATAAAGGAAACTATGCATTATGACCAAGTGCAATTTATTCTAATAATGCAAAGCTGGTTCAACATTTGAAAATCAATTAATGTAATCTGTCATATCAACAGGCTAAAGAAGAAAAATCACGTGATCATATCAATAGATGCAGAAAAAACTTCTGACAAAAACCAGCTCTTATTTACTGTCAGAACTCTCAGCAAACTACTAATAGAAGGGAACTTACTCAACTTGATAAAGAACATGTGCAAACATCTTTCAGCTAACATGGTACTTAATGGTAAGAAATTGAAGCTTTCCCGCTAAGATCAGGAACAAGTCAAGATGTCTCTTTACACCAACCCGTTTCAACATCATATTTATTGGAAGGCCTAGCTAATGCAATATGACAAGAAAAGGAAGTAAAAAGTATACAGATTAGGAAGAAGAAAATAGAATTGCCTTTGTTTGCAGATGACATGATTGTCTATGTAGAAAATCTGAAAGAATTGACCAAAAAAAAAAAAAACCCTCCTGGAGCTAATAAGCAATTATAACAAGGTGGCAAAAGTTAATTGCTTTCCTATATGCCAGCAACAAACAAATGGGATTCGAAATGAAAACAACATCCCATTTACAATAGTGCCCCCAAATTAAATTCTTAGGCATAAAACTAACAAAAATAGACAAGACCTTTATGAGGGAAGTTATAAAATTCTGATGAAGAAATAAAAATCCAAGTAAATGGAGAGAGATTCCATGTATATAGATAGGAAGACTCAGCATTATCAAGATGTCACTTCTTCCCAACTTGATGTATAGATCCAAGGCAAACCCAATCAAAATCCCAGAAAATAATTTCCTGGATATCAACAAACTGATTAAGCTTATAAGGACTGCAAATGGTTTGGGTTCTTTACTTGCAGGATGACTGTATCAGTCAGGATACAGTCAGAACAACAGAAACCACACTTGGTATTTCTTTTTTTTTTTCTGCGTAGAGTCTTGCTCTGTCTTCAGGCTGGAGTGCAGCGGTAAGATCTCGGCTCACTGCAACATCCGCCTCCTGGGTTCAAGCGATTCCCCTGCCTCAGCCTCCCCAGTAGCTGGGACTACAGGTGTGTGCCACTACACCTGGCTGGTTTTTTGTATTTTAGTAGAGAAGGGGTTTCACCACGTTGGCTAGGATGGTCTCGATCTCCTGACCTTGTGGTCCACCCGCCTTGGCCTCCCAAAGTGTTGGGATTACAGGCGTGAGCCACTGCGCCCGGCCTATACTTGGTATTTCCACAGAGATAATTCAATATAAGAAATTGGCTAAGGAGTTTTGGGGAACCAAAAAAGCAAAAAAAAAAAAAAAAAAAAAAAAAAAAAAAAAAAAAACAAAAAAAAAAAAAAGCAAAAAAAAAAAAAAAGTTGAGGGGGCAGATATTGAACTAATATAGATACAGTAACTATAAAAAAAAAAAAAAAGTTGAGGGGGCAGATATTGAACTAATATAGATACAGTAACTATAGGAGGAAGCTACCACTCCTAGGGTTGAGGACACAAAAGGAAGTTTGCACAAAAGGAAACTTAAAAGAGAGGCATTTCAGACTTCTGAGGAGGGGCCACTGCCTAACTCTTGCTGGCATCATTGGATGAGGCATGTTGAGGCTGGTTTTAGGAATTCCAAAAAAGTTGAATATTATAAATGATAGCCACTTGTCAGGAAGGAAGCATGTCCTATCTCACTCTTTCTGCCTTGAAGAACTAATAGGAAACCAACTGGCAAAGTGGAAATATAGTTCTCATAGTCCCAGCCTTGTTGTCATAAAGAAGAGTTACATTTGTGAGTTTGGACTGAGAGACAATGGCATAACAACTGGGACAGCTCATTACTTTGCTTATTCAATATTCATACACAACTTTCTCTGTATATTTGAGCTTCCCATACAGCAATTTAAAAATGGCAGCTTTTTCTTTAACAAGATACAGCTATCCTTTGTACAAATTGACACTCTCAGCCAGGCGCAGAGACTCATGCCTGGAATCCCAGCACTGTGGGAGGCCGAGGCAGGTGGATCACTTGAGTGCAGAAGTTCGAGACCAGTCTGGGCAACATGACGATATCCCATCTCTACTAAAAATAAAAAAAATTAGCTGGGTGTAGGGGCGCATGCCTGTAATCCCAGCTATTCAGTAGGCTGAGGCACAAGAATAGCTTGAACCTGGGAGGTGGAGATTGCAGTGAGCTGAAATCTTGCCACTGCACTCCAGCCTGGGTGACAGAATGAAACTCAAAAAAATAAATAATTAAAAATAAATAAATTGACATTCTTACCCTTTCTCCGTAAAGAGATGATCCCAAATGTCATTACGTTAATCTCTGGACTGTGTGTTAAGTACTCCTCAATTCAATAAAGTCCCTTATGAACCTTCTATAACCTAAAGATGAAATTAACAATTACCATTAATTTTTAAAATTACAGTGGGAATGGAAAAGACAAATTTGTTAATATATACAGAAATACATAAACATATATATACATTAAGCAAGTAAGAGATAATGCTTAGTTATTAGTCCTTATTTCTGTCTAGTCATGAGCCTGCTGTTAGTGTCCCTTCCTCCCCAGCTCATTTCATGCTTCCTGTACTCTGAGCCAGCATATACCAAGTGGTGTGATCCACACTGTCATTCCTGAAGGGTCTGAATCTTCAGTGGTCCTGTCTTTCTTGGTTATTATAGTTTTTTAAATTAACTTTTACTATCAGCAGCGGGAACACAGGGGTGCCATGTTGTCATGAATGGCAGCATCCCCATATATAGTCCTTTTTGGTTTCACTTTGTAGCAGCAACCCAGTCTTTCTTTAGTTGTCAGGATCTATCACTCCAGCCAGTAATTCCGTTTTTGTCCATTGGTTCAGTTGCATATGGAATCTAAAACGGCCATTTAACTGTTAGAAACTCAATGGAAGCATTCTCTCTTGGGAATTAAACAGAATTCAAGTTATGAGAAGCAGAATTCTGTGAAGAAGTGTAATAATGAGAGAAGCCACTTTCCCTTCTACTTCTTGACTATGGACCTGTGTGTTGTGGCTTTGGGAGAAATAGTGCCATACATTAGTCAATGACTAAAAGCATATATTGTTCTTTGAAAACAGAGTTCCAACCTTACAAAATGTTTCTCAGCTCACGTTGTAACTGAGTCTTTAGTAGGCCATCCCATTGTTTTATCAGGCCAGATACTTTTAGATGGTGGGATATGCAGTAAGACTACTTATTTCCATAATTTGCAAACTCTAATTACACTTCTAAGATGTGTTCCTTAGAAGATGTGTTGAGTAGGATACCATGATACTGAGTAAGAAATTATGTGGTGGTGCTGGCAGAAACGCAATAGGCAGAAAAGGCAAATCAATACACAGAATAAGTGTCTATTCTAGCACAAACAAATGGCTTTGATTTCCATGATGGAAGGGGTGCCTTATAATCAACCTATCAACACACAGTTGCCTGATCCCCTTGGGAAATGGTGCCATATTGGGGACTTACAGTTTAGATTCTGCTCTTGATAATATGGGCACTCAACTATGCCAACAGTCATATTAGCATGGTGAGCACTTTGTTGGGTCTGTGCTTCATCTCTGCCACTATGGCCATTTTGTATACCAGCCCATTAACACAGAAGATGAGGAAGGATGCTGACTGATAGTTCCAGAACCAGTCACTTTGTTCACCTCTATTATTGAGGCCTCCTCTACAGTGGCTGTATCTTGGTAAGCACTCACACAAATTCCTTCACATTTAGTGCTCATTCTGAAAGATCTGTGCATGTGTCTCTTCTTTAGTCTTCCTTGCTATCAGTCTTGTTCTTTTCCATTTCGTGACCAGGTGACCAAAGCATTATTCACTGTCCACAGATGAGTGTACACCTGTACCACAAGCTACTCCTCCTTCCTGGCTGAGAGGACCTCAAGGTGTACTGCTAAAACTTCTGCCCTCTGGGAGTTTCTTCACCGTTTCCCTTCAGCAGCATCTTTGAGTGAGTATACTGGTACTAGTGTCATGTGGACACCCTTCTGTAAACCAGGCCCAAGTTGGTTTAAATTTTTTTTTAATTTTTCATTTAGAAAATTTTAAATTGACACATAATAATTGTTCATATTTATGAGGTACATAGCTATGTTGTGATACATACAATGGATAGTGATCAAATCAGGGTAATTAGCATATCCATCACCTCAAACATTTATCATTTCTTTGTGTTGGGAACATTCAATATCCTTTTTCTAGCTATTTGAAACTATAAGATACTGTTAATTATAGTTATTCCATAGTAGTATAGAACACTGTAACTTATTTCTCCTATCCATTTGTATCCTTTAACAAATCTCTATTTCCCTCTTCCCCCTACTCTTCTCAGCCTTTAGTATCCTTTATTCTACTTTTTACTTCTATGAGATCAGCTTTTTTTAGCTTCCACATATGAGTGAGAACATGCAGTATTTGACTTTCTGTTCCTGGCTTATTTTGCTTAATATAACGTCCTCCATTTCCATCCATGTTGCCCTGAATTACAGGATTTTATTCTTTATTATGGCTGAATAGTACTCCATTGTATATTTATATACCACATTTTTCTTATTCATCCATCTGTTGTTGGACACATAGGTTGATTCCATATCTTGGCTCTCATGATAATGCTGAAGTAAACATAGGGATGCAGGTTTCTCTTCAATATGTTGATTTCCTTTCCTTTGGATAAATACCCAGTAGAGGAATTTCTGCATCATATTGTGGCTCTACTTGTAGTCTTTTGAGGAACCTCCAGACCGTTCTTCCTACTGGCTGTACTAGTTTACATTCCCACCAAGTGTATGAGAGTTCCCTTCTCTCTGCATCCTTGCCAGCATTTTTTTTTTCTTTTATAATAGCCATCCTAACTGGGGTGAGATGTTATATCATTGTAGTTGTGATTTACATTTCCCTGATAATTAATGATATTGAGCATTTTTCATATACCTGTTGGTCATTTGTATGTCTTCTTTTGAAAAATGTCTGTTTAGATCACTTGCCCATTTTTTAATCATAGTGTTTATTTATTTATTTATTTATTGCTGTTGAGATATGTAAGCTCCTGTGTATTCTGGATGTCAATATCTGGTCAGATGAGTAGTTTGCAGATATTTTCTCCCATTCTGTAAGCTGTCTTTTCACTGTGTTGATTGTTTTCTTCGCTGTGCAGAAGCTTTTTAGTTTGATATAATCCCATTTATTTTTGCATTTGTTGTCTGTGCTTTTGAGGTCTTATTCATAAAATATTTTCCCAGAGCAATCTCCTAAAGCATTTCCCCTCTGCTTTTTTCTAGTACTTTTTTTTTCCAGTACCTAATCATGTAGTCCTCAATAATCTAGTACTTTTATAGTTTTGGGTTTTACACTTAGGTCTTTGATCCATTTTGAGTTGATTTTTGTGTATGGTGAGAGATAGGAGTCTAGTTTCATTCTTCTGTGTATAGATATTTTGTTTTCCCAGCACTAATTATTTATTTATTTGAGACAGGGTCTTGCTTTATTACCCAGACTGGAGTGTAATGGTACAATCATGGCTTTCTGCACCTCAACTTCCCAGGCTCAAGTGATTCTCCCACTTCAGCCTCCGAAGTCACTGGGACTATAGGTGCATGCCACCAGGCCTGGCTGTTTTTAAAAAATATATTTTGTGTGTTTGTAGAGAGGGGTCTCCCTTTGTTGCCCAGGATGGTCTTGAACTTCTGGGCTCAAGCAATCCTCCCTACTTATCCTCTCAAAGTATGATTACAGGTGTGAGCCATCGTGCTTGGCCCACCACTATTTATTGAGGAGACTATCCTTTCCCTAATGTATGTTCTTTGTCCCTTTGGCAAAAATCAGTTGGCTGTAGATACATAGATTAATTTCTGGGTTCTCTATTCTGTCTCATTGGTCTATGTGTCTGTTTTTATATCAGTGACGTGCTGTTTTGGTTACTATGACTTTGTAGTATGGTTTGAAGTCAGATAGGATGATGCCTCCAGTTTTGTTTTTTTTGCTTGGGTTTGCCTTGGATAGTCAAAATCGTTTGTGGTCCTATATAAATTTTAGGCGTTTTTTCTGTTTCTATGAAGAATATCATTGGCATTTTGACAGGGATAAAGCCCAAGTGTATTTCCCCCTCTCTTTCAACAGGTCATAAGAAACTCCCTATAAAACCACAAATGCTGGTTGAGGGAGAGGCCATAAGGCAGCAGAAGTAGGTACTGTGGGGGTCTGGGCCACTTGCTCATATAACTTACTTGTTCTCTGAGCTTGCTTGAGAATCTGATCTTGCACATACTATGTCTATTTGCTAATGGATTGCTGCTGCACAACATTATAGCTAGGTCTTGTTCATAATGGGCAAGTTAGATCATGTAGCAATTAGGTCATGTAATAGGAATTCCAAGGTTAAAAGTTTATACCAGGGCATAATAGTGAGCTATGAGCTGCTTCTTTAAGGGAGCAGAGGAGAGTATGGTTCTGTTTGCTAGCTATGTGTTGTGTCATTTTCCTGCAGAGGCTTGCCAGAGGAGCTATGTGGCACTCTTACCACAGACACTTGGAGCACTACTGGGTAGACAGACTGGAGTCGCACTGCCTTGACCCACTCTAGAGCCTTCTCTTGCTTCAGGCACCATTCAGAAGTAGCAGCTGTACAAATTACTTGGTGTAACTGGATCAGAGCAGAGCATTGAATTGTGGTTTTTGTTGCCTACAAAATCTAAAGAGGCCCAGTACTGGCACAATGACCCTGAACTTGAACAAGGACTGCCTAACATTACTTATTGATATAGCGGCCAGATGTGACTTTGATTGTTTTCCCTTCATATATGGTTGTATATAAAATAATTCATTTTGTTAACTAAGAATTTTTTGGGCTTGTATTTTCATAAGAGAGGTATATGTGTGTCCTGTAAACTGTCTGAATATTTCTTTCTTTTCTTTTTGGTCTACATAGCATCTCTTGGTCTGGGCAAACTTCCCTTTTCGATTTTGGTGGTTCTGATGAGTAAAGGTAAATTACCAGATAGCAAAGCAAGAGGGCATTCTAGAAAATAAGATCAGTGGAAGCAAAGGCCTATGGGCATGGTAGGTTCTGGGAGCAGTAATTAGTTCAGTTGAGTAGTAAGTAGCACTGGAGGTAAAGAATATAAAGAATAGAGTGATGGAAGATAAAGTTGGAAATATTAGGTAGGGCTACACTGGGAGGAGCTATTTTTTGTTTGTTTGAGGTGGAGTTTCGCTCTTGTTGCCCACGCCGGAGTGCAATGGCGTGATCTCGGCTCACCACAAATTCTGCCTCCTGGGTTCAAGCAATTCTCCTGCCTCAGCCTCCTGAGTAGGTGGGATTACAGGCATGTGCCACCACACCCGGCTATTTTTGTATTTTTAGTAAAGACAGGGTTTCTCCATGTTGGTCAGGCTGGTCTCAAACTCCCAACCTCAAGTGATCCACCCACTTCGGCCTCCCAAAGTGCTGAGATTACAGGTGTGAACCACCACACCCAGCAGGAAGAGCTTTGTGTACCATATGAAGAAGGTGGACAAAATCCTAGGCTGAGGGGAAGTAGTGATGATTTTTTTTTTTTTGGCAGGGCTATGATGTGATCACATCACTTTGGTGTGAAAGATATTTCATGAGGGAGAATTGGAGATGAGCAATGCTAGGGGTAGAAAAAACAAAAAACAAAAACCATATTATTTAAGATTACCTAGTAATTCTGAATAAAATGATGAGACATGAGCTAAGTAAGGTAAGGCGAATTAGAGGAGGAAATGAATTTAAATGATACATAGGAAGTGGAATTGACAGATTCGATGGCTGACTGTATGCAGAGTGGGAGGAGAGAACAAGAATTTATATATGTGGTTAAAAATTTTACACTTGTATAACACAATCCAGTTTGAGCTTGAGTGGGGTTCAGAGAGATCTGGGCCTAGTGTAGAGTGACCAGCTGTTCTGGTTTATCCAAGATTGAGGGATTTCATGGGACGTGAGACTTCCAGTGCTAAAACTGTGAAAGTCCCCAGCAAACCAGGATAAGTTAGTCATACTAGCCTAATATGAACGGGTGGACAGATTAGTGATGGGAGCTTATCAGCATAAGCACTGAGACAACCTTCTGGGATAACCATGACCTGGCAAGTGATCCTTTAGAGGTGCAAAGAAATGGTGGTCCTTGATAATGCACGGTAGCTGCCATTCAAATCTACCCCACAGTGGATCCAATCTGGGGTTCCACGGAGAAAGGATGTTGGAAGTAAAATATGAAAGAACTGTTTCACTAACTTGTGACCTGCTTTAACAGAGTATAACTCAGAGGGGACACCATGGACCACCTCACAGCTCTGGAAACCTGAGGGCTTTAGTACATTGGGAAATTCAGTTAAATACAGGTTGGGGAGTTGCAAGGGATGGAGAGGTTGGGGAAGAGGGAAGAGGAACTGGTAACCTGTACTGGTACACAGAAGAACTAAAATACTTAGCAGAGCAGAATAACATCTGTGCATTGGGGCATAAATCAGTGAAATATGAGTTATTACAGCAAAGGTGACAGCAGGCTTTTCTTGAAGCAATACCTTTCAGAAGGAAAGACTGTGTTGATTACTTTGTTACGTTTCTCCATCTAGTGGTAACTCTCATGTACTTTTTTCCTAGTTAGATGTTTAAAAGAAGGCAGATTAAAAACTTGAGAAATATTTCTAAAGCCATCATTTATTTACTCATTCATTCATTCACTTAACAAATACTGAATGAGTATGCGTACCTTCTATAATGCCAGTTACATTTCTAGCCATTGGGATTACGCTGTGAACGAAACTGAAAAAACTCTGAACTCATGGAAGCTTACACTGATGAAAGAGTGCATTTAATTTTTTTTCCCCTATATGAATGTTCTGTTTTCAAAGCACCATTTACTGAAAAGATTATCTTTTTTCTTTAGGACTCTGCAGTGCCATTACTGTTATATATGAAGTGTCCATTTATGTGTGAGTCATTGCATGTCTTGGTTATACTCCATTGATTTATTTGTCAATTTCTGTGACAATGTCATATGTCTTTATCATTTTACTTTATAATCATTATTAATATTTAGTACAGCAAGAATTCCCATCTTATTTTTTAAAAGAGTGTTTTGGATATTCTTGGCCTTTAAATTTTCCATAAAGTTTAAAGTTAGTCTGTCAGATTCTATCAAAATACCCTATTGGGAATATTTACTGGGATTGAACTGAATCATTAAGTCATTTTAGAGTGAACTGACATTTTTGTACTATTGGATCTTCCAATTCACCATTTACATCAGTCTTTAGTGTCTTTGAATAGACATAAAAGTCTTATATATCTTTTGATATATTTGTTTGTAGATACTTGATTTTTTTTAGGCTAAAAAGGCATCTTTAAAAAATTATTTGCCAACAATTTATGGCTGGTGTGT